AAACAAATAATTTGTCAATTATTGTCCTCTCGGGCGAGTTCAACCGTGAAATCATATATTGCCCAATACCGGAAGTTTATCAAATTTGTAAGCCAGAATTCTAAGCTTACTCGTGAGTTACCAATTAGCAGTACAGTCATTTCTCAATATTTGTCCCATCTTCTACTTGCCAAGAAATCCCACAATGTCGTTATACAAGCTCACTGTGCTTTAAAGTGGATCCACGATCTTCTCCCACTATCTTCCAACCCAGCGGATACGGCTATGATTAAAAACATCGTGGAGAGTAAGAGACTCTGTTCCAAACCTTGTTCCAGAAAAGAACCCTTATCTATAGAGAACCTCGAAGCTGTTGTTTTACGATTTGCTCTCCTAATAGTGACTTAAAGGATATTCGAACAGCACTCCTGTTTGTCCTGGGTTTTTCTGGGTTATTTTGAGCTAATGAGCTAATCAACATCCAAGCTAAGCACATCACAATCAACTCCGATCATTTGGCCATCGTAGTCCCACAAAGCAAAACAGATCAATATCGAGAGGGCAATACAGTGTTTATTTCAAAAACTAACGGAATTGTGTGTCCACATACTTTGCTTCTCACCTATTTTTCTTTAGCTCAGATTGTTCCAAATTCAGATGAGTATATTTTCAGATCAATCCAAGCTCCTCGCAGAGGAGCAACGAAAGCTACTTTGGGCCCGAGACGTCTAAGCTACACAAGATGTCGTGAATTAGTGAAGAGGGAGTTCAAATTATTGGTCTAGTTCCGAAAAAATACAGTACTCATAGTTTGCGATCCGGAGGGGCGACGTTCATAGCAAATTCACAAGCGAACAATCCGAATCTCAATCGATGGTTAAAAATACATGGAAGATGGAGAACAGATTCTTCAAAGGACATTTATATAAAAGATAAATTGAACCATAAACTAACCTTAACCCAATCATTAAATAGTTGATAGAAAGTTGTTATGCTCAGAGTTATAATTATGTCATTGTGATAAGTAATAAATGCTAGGCGAGTCCTTGCACGTAGCCTGCCATTAGTATGTGTTTAAATGTGTAAGTGACAGAAAAAGGAAAATGACTTTCCTTCGGACGAGCTAAGCGAGGTAGAAGGAAAATTGTATTTGAACATGTAGCTCCTTTGTTGGTTGTATCAGCCTCCATTGAAGTTCCTGGGTCATCATACATTATAAATTATACTTTCAGTTTAAGCAATTTTATATTCTAACTAAGCTACTATTTCAAATTTAGTACTAGGACCTGCCTTAGTATTTAGATATCTAATTATAAAATTTAAAAAATTACACTAACTAATAATATATATCAGTTTATAGCTATCAAACTATGTATAAGTTTAATTCGTTTTACCTAAATTCTAGCTAAAAATATTATTTTAAATTAATCCCAATCCCAATCGATTTCATTCTACTTTGCACGAAATATAGTTTATAGTACATAAAAGCCAATTTTGGTTTCAAAATTAGCAAATGCTACGAAAAAAGTATATAAATGTATAGTGTGTAAATGTATATAAATGTATATCGCGGCGGCCATTTCCATTTCCCTTGCAAGTAAAAGGTTACCACATTTCCCATGATGCTTTGCTATAATGCAAATTGCCTATAACCTATATCAAAATATAAAATAAACAAAGAAGCGGCTTCCTGCTTAATAATCCATGATTGCCACAGTTAACCTCTAAAAAGCGTACTTTTTTCGTCCTATGGTCGACTAACCTATTGTAGTGTGTTTTCAAAATGCTTTCAAAACATGTATATTATGGCTAGTCTTTGCATGGGCGTCCCAATTGTTGCCGTGGATAAAAACGTTGAAAAAATGAAGAAATCATGGGGCCAAACACGAAATTTATGCACTTATGGTCCCTCTGATTATTGCAGTGCATAAAAACATTTAAAAAATAAAGAAATGCATGCTGTCAAACCCGAAATTTATGTATTTATGGTCGTTCTTATTGTTGCAGTGCAAAAAAACGTTGAAAAAGAAAGAAATCACGCTGTAAAACCCAAGATTTATCTATGTATGGTCGTCCCGATTGTTAAGGAACGCTGGAAAACCTGAAATTTATCTCAGAATTTATGGGCGTCCCGATTATTGCAGTGCATAAAAACGTTGAAAAAATAAAGAAATCATACTGCCAAACCCGAAATTTATGTATTTATAGTCTTCCCGATTGTTGCAGTGCATAAAACGTTGAAAAATAAAGAAATCATGCTGTCAAACCAGAAATTTATCTATTTATGGGCATCTCAATTGTTGCCGTGGATAAACTATGAACGTTGAAAAAACGAAGAAATCATAGTGCCAAACTCGAAACCTATATCTATTTATATGTTCGTCCGGACTGTTGCGGTGCATGAAAATGTTGAAAAAATATAGAAATTATGCTGGTTGAAAAGTGAAGAAATCATGGGCCCGAACGCGAAATTTATCCTATATTCTCACTGGGAGTTTTGGCAGACAATGCCACTTTGTCTACCCAAAGCTTAACAAACTCCTTAATGGCATTCAGTTTATCACTCAAGCGAGCAGGCCTGTATAAAATAGGGCAGAAACAGGGTTTTTTCACAGTTTTGCTACGAAAGCCAGCCAGCAGACTTAGGGAGCAATGCATCCCTTTTTCCCCCGTGTTTGTGCAGATGTGCTGTTTATATCCCTTTAGCTGCAGATGTATATATCCCTTTCTTCCGCGTGTTTGTGCAGATGTGCTGTTTAGGGCGTTCTCGCCATGTATACTGTCTCCTTTAGACCGTCCTATTTAGTCATTAGCGACCTTTAGAAATCAAGACAGTGTTTGCCGAGACGGCTTTTATCACGCAGAGTGGACTGGGTAATGAGTTGTGCGCATGCGCAGCTAGCATTGCTTCACCGTCCTGGTTTGTTGACAACGTGGATTACTCGGTTTTGCCGTTATCTGGACAACGTGATGTCTTTTGAGCAAGAAAACGCGGATATTAACGTTAATATAAGGCGAAAGGGAAACGAGCGTAAGTGCTTCTGGAATGTGTAACACTTATTTTCCGGTACGTTTTTCATAATATTTGCTTTATATGTACTTTGATGAACTGTTTGTCTTTTACATAATACACGATGACAGGTCGCCATTTCACTGGACAGACCATAGGCGGCCCAGAACTGATCTCGCTCGCTAATCTCGCTGTCGCTGACCTTGCGCGACGCTCATGTTGTCTGAACAGTCTTATATTATGACAAGGTAGGCAACCCTCACGCCAAATAAGCTAAAAACGCACGGCGGTTGACTCAAACACCTTCACAAAACCGCAAATATTTCGTAAAAATATTGCGAATAAGAAAAAAAAGTACAACACATTAAACTTGAATATTTTACTATATTTATACTATATTTTAGCATTCAAATGTATTCCTATGCATGTATAAAACGTGAATGTTTTTTGGGTTTCTGGCAAATATATTACAAAACCTATGCTGGGGACACCTTGCCTATACCTTCGTCATAATTTTAAATTGAAAATAGAAAGCTGATTGGCTCTTTTTAAACGACAGCCAATCAGCTTTCTATTTTCAATTTTAAAAATATGACGAAGGTATAGGCAAGGTGTCCCCAGCATAGGTTTTGAAATATATTTGCCAGAAACCCAAAAAACATTCACGTTTTATACATGCATAGGAATACATTTGAATGCTAAAAATATAGTATAAATGTAGTAAAATTATTCAAGTTTAATGTCAGAGGAGGTTGGACAGCTGTCACAGAATTTCTCGACCAATGAGATTGCGCTATTTTCCAAGCATGCTTGCGAAGATTTTGAGCGAGAAAATTTACATAAGACAGAGAAACATAAAAATATTGAGTATATTTTTAAAGTTTACTGATTAAAACGCATATTTTTTGAAAAAGATTCATTGGACTGGCGATATCTGTCGAGATTATCGAGGTAAGCGTTACTTTTTAAGTCGATTTTTATAACTGAAGTTGGTCGGGTCGTTCCGAAGTGATGAGTCATGTGCTTGTCTGTTTACAATTTTCAAAGTTGAAAATCTCGAATTCCTGTGGTTCGATTTTTGAGATTTTTGTAAGAATGAAGTTAAGTATGTAAAAAAAAATCGGCTGGATCGACCCCTTGCGACCCCACACCATTTCCGAGATATCGGGCTTTGAATTTATCACTCTTGTTTTGAGATGTTCAAAATAGCGCATTTCGGGTCAATGGGATATTTCCCTTTCAAATATTGTTTAACTACATAATTTGTAATATTAATGTAAATTTTATTTGTATTCATGGTTTAACTTCCTTAGTTATTAACATTTAGACGGGAAAATAGTATTTTTTTGTATTTTATATAGATTTCATTTTTGGCAGTGACGACTCCTATGCTCATTCGCTAACGCCTAGCGTTTCGGTAAGTGCACATTGCGCAATTTCGGGGTTGAATAGAATATTTTTCTCTTTTGTGTAGGTCAGTATATTGAGGCCCAAAAAAGGGTACACGATCCTCCAACTGGGCAAACCCCTGGAAAAAGGCAACCAAAACTAAGATCTACATCTGGAAAGTTTTTGAAGAGATCCCTGTTTCAATCAGCTACAGATAAATTAGAGAACAGGACAGCGGAAAAAAATACAAAGGTAACAGCTGGAAATATCTTTACTCGCATAATAATGTAGGACTCTTTTGGATTGTAAATATGAAAGTCTATTGACACAAGCTATTTATGTATGGACCTTTGCTTATTCTACATAGATTAATACAACATGGAGTGAAGAAGAATTGTCAGCATTGGTTGAGTATATTGCCCTTTACTATTTTCCTGATGAAGATTCCACTTGTGAATGGCCACTTTTTAAGGATGAAGAATTTTGGAGGGAATGTGCTAATGGTGTCACCTGTGTTAACATTGACAAGGAGCGAACTGGTAAAGGATCATTTTAGACTATTTACCTCCTTTAAATTAGTTGTCCAGGAAATCACTGCCACTTTGTCATTTGTTTATTCCTAATTTTTCATACATATGAATAGTAAGAGACATTATTTAATGTATTGCAATGATATCCCTATCCCTTTTTGCAATTATAAGGACTTGCATGTAGAAGTGTTGTACAGCGATTCTTGAAGGAAAAGTTCAAAACAATTGCTGATTCTGAAGAAGCTTATGGAATTTGCTATTTTGGTGAAAAGGAGGCAAAGTGTAGGTGACGCTGAAAAATTGCTGTCACCTGCTGTAGCTAAGTGGCTGAAAGCTAACGGTTTTTTGAGTGAAGGTAGATTTGTAGAGATTGTGTCAAACTGGCATAAGGCAAGTGGTGGTCGTGGTCTAACGGAAACAGAACGTTCAAAAAACAACCTGGCCATGCTGGATTATCTGCTAGAAGACTGGATGCCATGGTACAAGGATTTAAGGGACTACTCTACAATGGATGTTAACAGGTACAGTACATATGTCAGATCATATTGTATGGACATATTTAATGTATGTGTTTATAACTTTTAGACCGATCAAAGGAGTTGGTGGATTCACCAGAGAAGTTGTGGTTGCATTAACAACAAATATTGAAAGTCAGGTTTGTTTGTTTTTGTTATGGTGATGCTTTTCGATCTTGGAGCCTAGTAATTTTAATCATCACTGTTTTTTTGTAGGAGTTTAGACGTCGATATGGTATTGAAAAAGGGCTTCCTCCTGAACACCCACGGGCAGGATCAACAGATGATGTTGAAGGCATCTTTGCTTCTTTACATGGATTACTGGGACCGATTTTTGATGAGAAGGATTTTCATGATGCTTTTCCAAAAGTTATTAGTGAATATACAAAGAAGTGTGATCCTGATCTGCCATTTTACTATTACACTGGATCCAATGATAGATACAATGATGGATGCTTGCAATCTTTTAACATACCCTCTAGTAGTGGGAAAGAACGTCTAGATCGTGTCTGTATTTCAAGGCGAGCTGACCCTTGAGTATTTGTTGCCAACAGAGCTGTAATCCCACAACGTGGTCAATTGAGTGTTAGATCAGCACATTTCAAACAACCAGAAGGCTTACCACCACCACCACCTTCACAAAATTGATAAATATGAAACATATTGTGTGATTATATGTTTTCACTTCTTCAGTAAAATAAACTGACATTTTATATTGGTTCTGTTCTTTAGATGCTTGTTGATGTTTACAGTTAGTGTGAGTTAAGATCTGCATTACTAAGCCATTCTGTGTTAGAACTGGCAATATTTATGTATATTAGGTTGATTGAAAAGCTAAAGGCATGAACACCTTATCTAGTACAATTGATCTTCAAGTTTGCATGAATTGTAAATGCTATTAGCATAGAAACAATAGCATAGAAACAAAAAACAATGGTGTGTGTATGCAGGTTTTTACTTTTTGAACATCATGTAAATATATGTATAAATGCAAAATCTTGGCTGTTTTGTCAAGGCAATTTTACTTACAATATTTTATAACCATCATAAAATTTGATGAGTTTATTTATTTGTTCATCAATAAATACAGATTTACATATTTATACCATGTATTGTATGAATATTTTTCTAATTTTCTTAATACTGCAAGGGTTTGTATGAAATATCACATGACAGTGAAGTGCTTTGGTTATAGACAATAGGTTTTGAGGATATAAAATAGAAAGCCTGGTTTCCATACAACATTGTCAGGGTGTTGTGTTAACCATTAAGAAAAATATCTATCATTATTAGTTATTATGCAACAACTTGATTGTCATATGGAAACCAGACTAAAAACAAGTTGATGGCAAAAATGCTGGAAAAATCTACATAGGTTAGCCAATGGAAATAATTGCAGAAATTCACAACTTGCAAACCGTGGTTCTTATGAAATTATATGTCAACGTACACTCATACTAGCCCTTACAATCTGACCATCCCATTCACCACGCCTCTTTATCCAGATTCTTGGATAAAATCCTATTTTTAAAAAGTTAACCCGAAACTTGATGTGTTCAACATAGACGTCTAGTATATCTCCTGCTGCAATCAGTGGATGTACTTGCAATGTTCAGAAGCTATATATCCAACATTTTCCCATTGAGTTCCATAATGAAGATCAATAGCAATTGCATTTTGGTTCCGAGGATTCTCCGGCTCTGGTCTTAGTCTAACATTTACTGATCATTATATTCAAGGGAAAGATATGCCTGTTCCAGATGATGTTGGTAACTTTGTTCATGAGCAGCTCCAATGCACTTGAATGGTAGAGCATGAGTGCTTTCTTCCTCATCACTTTCAACTTCTTCACTTTCTTCTTCACTGTCCTCATTACTAATTTGCCCATTGACAGTTTCATTTCTTTTACTTTGTTCATCCCCATTCTCCTCTCCAGCATTTTCTAGTTCAGCCAAATGCTCAAGTAGATCTCTTTCTATAAAGCAAAACAAAAAAATGCCCGTCTAATACTGTAATGTCTATAAATAAAAACTCACTAGTAATTTCTAAAAATAGAATTCAACGACTATGAGATTAATTTTTACTTTAAGCATGAAACCATTAACAAAGCATGTGTAAAGAAAACATTCGTAAACAGAAATGAACTATCAAAACTTTATACAGTAACTATACCTTCAGATTCATCAGAGAACCAATGATGATCATCAATGTCTCTATTTTTTGTTCTTTCATGACCAAAATCGTTTTCGTTACTTTCACTTGGTTCTTGAGAGGCTTGAGAGCTCCCTGATTCAGATGTGTTATCTAAAGGAGGTAGAAGTACTTTCTGAGTGGGATAAAAGTTTGAACAATTGCAACTTACTGCGTTGATATTAAGCAACGGAGTTTCTTCGATGTCATCAAAATCAGGAGTAACCGCATCCACAGCCCTCGTATTTCTGTCAATACACGATCCACATCAAAATCCCAAATTAAAAGCATTCTCTCCGCTTTACAATGAATAAATTCATCAGGGATAGTACCAAACTAAAAAAAAGTTTCAGTTAAATTTTAATACACAAATCAAGCCTTAAAAGTTATTAAAAATATTAAAAAATGAGGTGTTGACAAGTACTTTATACTAACCTCAAATATAGTACTTGCTTTAACGTTGATGACACAAGGAGATTTAAGGCCATTCAACTTCGAAAGCAGTGTTTCGGTGTTTGGTATAATGCAAAGTCTTCTTTCAGACGGAGTATTATGAAAGGTGAAATGGCAGCAAAGCCCATGCAGCTTAAAAACGGTAAACTCGGTACAGTAAATGATAAGTCGTAATGCGGATCGCAACAATACATATACATCATAGTATTTTGCAGCTTGAAAATCCTGTCTTTCGAAAGCATCCATTTTTCCTATACTCGCAGAGCTCTTCGCATCACGACAGTCAAAACGTCAAATGAAGCGTTCGCATAATTGAGCGCTCAATACCCATCATGCTTTGCGGCCTGCTGTCCAACCTCCTCTGGTTGGTTTAATATGTTGTACTTTTTTTCTTATTCGCCATATTTTTACGAAATATTTGCGGTTTTGTGAAGGTGTTTGAGTCAACTGCCGTGTGTTTTTAGCTTATTTGGCGTAAGAGTTGCCTACCTTGTCATAACATAAGACTGTTCAGACAACATGAGCGTCGCGCGAGGTCAGCGAGATTAGCGAGCGAGATCAGTTCTGGGCCGCCTATGGACAGACGAACACGATATTTTACTCTGCTGTGAACTCCGAAATATAGAACCTTACCAATACAAACCTGGTACTCGAGAAAGTGGCAGTGCATGGGATCGAATTGCCAACAACTTAAATTCGTTAGCCAGATCAAAGTTCAGCGTTAGTAAAAGGTCAGTTCGCGATAGATACAATGTGCTAAGGCCTAAGAGGAAACTTTGTGAGAAGAATGTCAGCAGAAGGGAAAAGCTCTGGTATAGACGTTGAAGAAAACGAACTTGATCAGTTGCTTGATGAGATTTGTGCCTGTGCAAAGGAATATGAACAGCGCATGAATGCAGAAAGTGAAGCAGATTTTGCTCGCAAAAAAGAAGATCAAGTTACAGCTGAAGTAATGAGACGTCAATCGATGGAAACTTACAGTGAGAGTGCCAAAAGAAAACTGACGACGAAGGAAAACCGAAAAAGAAGTCTCGACAAGCAGGAAATCAAACTGTCACTTATCTTCGAGAAAAGCTAGACAGGGAAACTGAAATACGAAATAAGGAAGTGGAACTGAGACATGCTGAACTGGACGAAGAAAAATGTAAGCGAGAAGCAGTGGAACAACAACAAATCAGGATGGCTGAACAGCAAACAGACGTTTTAAAAGCATTTCATGTTCAAATGGAAAGACAAGTGCAGCAACAGGAAAGCCAGCAACAAATTGCTCAGGTGATTATTCAGTCACAACAGCAGCAAACAGCTGCATTGATGGCTTTAATTGAGAAAATTAGCAAAAACTAACAAGCAAATACCTTGCTTAGTTTATATGTTTACAGTGTACATTACCACTAATAGTTGAGTTAACTGTGTTTATTGTGCATATTAACACTAATAGTTGAGTTTACATATGTTTACAGTGTACATTGACACTAAAAGCATATTAACACTAAGAGTTGATGTATATTCTTATTTTTTATAAAGCATGCTGTATTATATGAATAAGATTTGGCAGATATTTATGTACTTGCCATTGGAAGCATTTACCTCCAGCCAATTAGCTGGTGTGGGAATCACTATAATGCAAAAAAGACTACCTGTGAGGAAAAGAAAATGTGTGAAGCCCCTTACTAAAAAATGGTGTACATTTAAGTATGTTAGAAAATGAATTAAGCCCTATATATAATGCATTAAATAATTAATCTACTTCCTTTTATGATATACCTCCCAAGGTTGAAATGAGATTTTTTGATGCATCTATGTAATATAAAATTATAATGTAAACCAGAACATCCTTTATTTTACATTCTTTGAAAATATTGTTCAAGTGTTGGTGGTTGAATATTAAAATATTTGATACATTGTTTTCATATAAGCAAGTATGTGAATTTTGAATGAGTGCACAGGTAATGTACATTTTTCCAACAGCACTAAGGCCGACTTTAAGATTTTTTTAAAGTCAAGGAACTTAAAGTAGTTTATGATGTCACCAAAGACCCACTCTACAACAATCCGAACTTGACTCATGGACTTGTTGAACTGTTTTTCATGTGGAGTTAATCCAGCCCCCTTAAATGGTCCTTGCAGATGTACTCGAAGGGGGTAGGCAGGATCACCATAAATACATAGTGGGTTACCATTAGGATTAAAAGAATGTACTCCTAGTTTTGTAGGAGGCCAGATAATGCAAGCATCCCACTGTCATGTCTTTTCCCTTGAAATGGTTCAAATAAATTTGCTATCATCCCATTAGGTGTCACAACACTCTGAAACTTTATGGAGGTTACCCTTTGTGGCCATTATAGAGTGATCTTTGATTTTGGCGAGGTCTACATACTGGGCGAACTGTGCCATCAACTAAACCCCAACAATTTCACAGTGCTGCCCTTTTGAGTGAATTACAGCAGCAAAGTTTTGTAAAGATCCCCTCGATAGCCAAGGTTGATCTAAATCTTCCAGCAAAGTATGATGTTCATTGTATACGTGATTCATGATAAGATGTGATATAAGGCATATTTGAGGTATAGCACGAGCAAATCTTGGAACGAGGTCAGAATAACGACATGGATAAGCAAAACGTTTGAGGTAAACTCAAAACGCTTCAATTCCGGAGACTTTTAATCCGTTCGGGCAAATTACTTTAGCTGGTATCGCAAGTACATTCGCAAGTCGGTAAATATCGTTTTTGAAAAATCTAAATTCAGTCTTACATTCATTGTCTGTCATTTCCTCTAAATCAAACGGTGGGTATGACCAGTACGGAATTTCTGGGTTTTTTGATTTGTTCAAGTCGAAAAGCAGCTATAATTCTTCATCGTCAATAATGTTTTCTCCATGCGAAAGCAATAGTAAAC